ATAACGAACAGTGATCGACCTTAAAAAAAAATCTACAAACAATAGAAATTTGTGAACAGGTCATAAAACACAGACCCCCAGAAATTCCAGAGATGGGATCAGGTGCCTGAGAGGATTAAGCATCCCCTGTTGTCCAAATGTCCTATGTATTGGTCAGATAGACGGAGGATTCTAAAGTCAAACTTAGTATATAAACAAAGGCCTAACAATTGATATGAAACACCTCCGACATAATACGACCCACTGATACGTTATATTTGCTAATAAGGTCATTATAACGACCATAGAATTTATAAAATGTTGACTTTGAAAGGTTGTTATAATCCCTGTAACATCAACGTAGTCAGTAGCCCGCCTCGGTATAAAAATTAATCATACTCAGAGCATGATCGTAAGTATCGAATAAGTTAGGCGACTTAACACTATATGCAGGTGATAGCAGATAGCAGAACTACATCAATAAGTAGTGATATAGATAATAAAAATTTACAATAGAAAAATTGAAGTCATCTCGTTTGTCATAAAATTTAGTGGTTAGTTGGCCCTTATCGTCTATAGACAGTAAAACACCCAAATATGAAGCAGATGAGGCAGATACTGTGGTGTCTTTTATTTTAAGTCCACTGGGATAAATCGGACCAATGAAAGTAACCATTATAAATTGAAAATACGCGTCATCGATATATTTATCTGAATATCGAGCTGAAGCGTTTTCTTCTTCTCATGTAGAAGTTTTTGAAATAAGTCTGCTTCATAGGAATATAAAAACTGATCGGCTAATAAAGGAACACAATTAGTGCTCATGGAAATTTTTAAAAATTCGTTGGAAAACCTCTTAAGGCTACACAATTGTTGTCAACTCCAGCACAAAAAAGTGTGTTGATGCTCATTCACAAGATACGAGAATTTTTCGAATAAAAAGCAGTTGTCTAAGATATCAAAAAGCCTAGCATTTAATTTATTTTGAGGAAAGGTTGTATGAAAATTTGGTGATTTAATATATTTCTAAAACACTTAAACCATTCTGACATAGCGTACATGTCTCCCATTTCATATTTGGCCCAATGGCTGGCATTATCTTCATGAGAATTCATAATAGAAATGAAGTTCTGTTGCCAATTGAATTGACTACTGGTTTCTGCGTTTACCCTATGATGACAAAGAGCACACAGCCGCTATGACCGGTCTTCAGAGTATGCTTAATTACTTCTCCATAACATCTGATCCCACGTTTGATATTTTTAGAGGTCCGTGTTTGCTCTGTTCACAATTCGTATTGTTCTAACAGACTTTAGATTTCTGTAGTCTGTTCGTTTTCTTCATAAATCATTATTACTAAAAATGAATAGATTAAAAAAATCAGCATTTTCATCTTATATTTATTTCAAAATCTCATTTCATTTTTCTAAAGGTACAACATTTTCCCTTTAGATCTTATTTTCAAAAGATTTGGAGGAAAAAGAGGAAGAAAATTATGATGAATACATGTAAATAACCTCCTTCCAATTTTTATTCGACGTGTAGAATTGATTGGTGTTTATATGCTTATATGAAGGTGTTTTTGCAACCGTAAAAATAAAGGTTAGTAATGGATTCAGGAAATAAATATTATTTTGAACTAAAAGTCGGATAAGAATAATCTGATTAAGCTATTTATACAGAAAATACTTTCATGAAAAGCCTATTCTATGAAGAGAAATTTCATCTCCATTTCTTATGTTATCTCCCATGCATTAGTTGCAATAAATAAAAACTGGTCGATAATCAGAATTGTTTAATTTGACTACAACAAGATGTCATATCTGTAAAAAAAATCGGTAAAATATTTTTTAAAGTTATGCTCTAAGTAGCGTTAGAGGTACAATCAAAGAATTGTTTATAGAAACTTTGATTTATAGAAGTGAAAGACGAATATTAATCGCCCACAATTTGTGAGAAACCAAACGAGACTTAAAATACTAGAATCTATTTCAAATTTTCCCGCCAGATGACTTTTTTGTACTATTTGAGTTTTTCACCTTGAAAAGATGCTATTGAATGTGTCATAAGCTCTACCAAAGCAGATGTAAAAATTTGAAATCATTTTTTATGCATACACTCTCAGCACAATAATCAATTTTATCGAAAAGAATTCTTTCTTGTAATTTAAACTTGCATATCATACTAGGATTTAGTGAAGTTTGATGGATTCGGTTATCTTTTTTTTTACCACTGATTTGTATGTAGAACAGTAGCATTAGAATACAGAGGCTTATTAATGTTCTATAGATCTGTCAAATAGATCTAAATAAAAATGCCGTTTTATGGACATGTTTCAATGACACTCCCCCCCCCCCCCCAAAGTTATTTACATTTCATTGCTGTAGCTCCTTTTCTGAAACAATATATTGAGCACATACAGTGAATATTATGTGACGATTCAGGATAAAGTCATGGATATGATTTTTCTTTTTAAAATTTTCTCTTGACCAAAACTAGTCTATATTGAAACATTTCAATACTTGGGGAGAATATATGAATTTGACTAAATCAGACATTTTAATTGTCATGCATGTAGCTCCCATGCTACTGAAAGTGTTATTTTAAATAAAGTTATAATAAGCCAGGAAAAGCGCAAATATGGAATTCAAAATTTCAGACCATAAAAAACACACACTTAATTTTGACGAACTACATACGAGAGTCATTCAAAAATTATGTAGACAGTATCGCTCTAGATCTTCATGATATTGTTTTTTTTTTTCAAGTGCAAAAAAAAAAGCAAAAAAAAAAAAAAAAAAAAACAACAACAAACAAACAAACAAACAAACAAACAAAACAAATCAAAAAACAAACAAACAAACAAACAAACAAACAAACAAACAAACAAACAATTACTTTGTCGTTGTGTGAAGTTTCATTTCATTTGATTGAATAATACTAATGTTACTTAATTTTAAATTCAACTTGTTTTATCACCACGGTGCTGTAACGTCAAACAGAACGTCGTGAATGTTACTCAAATGCTCTCTCTCTCTCTGTCATTTCTCACCGTTTGTAGCGCCTTATTAACTCATTCAAAAGGTCTCCATAATACTTGACACTAGTTTGCTAACATTTGTTCGAGTAGCTTAAGTTAGTTTGCCAAATTCTTTATTGCGCAACTCTGCTTTTATAAGTTCCACATGAAAGAAGCTGCTTATCGCTTTCCATGACGTTACTAAATCTTTTGACCAGATTTTGAATGAAAATCTTTTCCCTCACAGACTGTCCAATTCAGTTTGTCTTTATCATTAATATACAAATGCAAGACTCACTTCTGATATATTTCCTGGTTTCTCCAGCATCTTCAGAATTTGTTTAGAGAAACACAATTATATCGCTACTGGCTGCTCCATGGCGTCCTTTAACGTCACCTTTTTTCGCTTTTTTTCACTACCTGTCTTCTGAAATTGATTTCTCTCTAACGAAGCAATTTATTACATTACAATTTGGTACTTAAAATTAAGATTTCGTTTAAGTGCCATTTGTTAGATATATAACTATAGACATGATTAAGTGTATTGTTAGAGAATTGTTAAATTTTGACCCATGCCCGGTAACCCTATTTTTGCAGTTTTAAATTTCAAATTATTTGGATATTCATCAAGATATAGTTGATTTTTTAAATTCAAAATACATGGATATATTGTTAAATTATGTCTACAAAAATTGGATTATAATATGATGTCAAATAAAAATGCTATATCAAAAGTCTAGGAACTTATTGAATGACCTCGTATAAGTTCTAATGAAAAAGAAAAGATTCATAACCAAAACATAAAATTAAAGAAATAGAAGCGTTAAATTTCTATTTAATTATTATGCATTGTTATAAAACATCAGTATTGTAATGATTTGTCGAACAGTTACATGTAGGCATTACTTTTGACTATCATATGCTTATAATATATCATGTTTCATGCACAGTGTTATTTATTAGGAATTAAATTCTGCATTTAAATCTGATAAAATTAAATAATATTTCTAGAGTTTCATTTTAATTAACATAGAATTATCGTTTTTTAATAGTGTGTAAGAACTTTTGCTTTAATCGGCAACAACAAGCATTCTTTATGAAATTTAAAGTTTCTTATAAATAAAAGCTTTTTAGTGATTCTTCAAATCTTTTCTAAATAACATACCACCGGTTATTGGCCACTACTGTTTAAATTGATGTTTCTCCGTCCAGTTCATCAGGACAGATAGGAATAAGAAAACAGTTATTTATTGCAATTTATTTACATGTTTACCTCTTAATGAAGTGATTCTGAAAGCAAATGCATCGATACCATGTAAACAACATTATTTATGATGTGGAGGTACAATATATTAACCTGTATTCATCTTTTCTCTGCTTTCAAAGTGGTTCTATCGAGTTTCATTTAGTTTTCGCCGTTTATAACTATATAGTACTAATTTCACAGGGATCCACAGGGAGCAACCATATTGATTTCACGTCTGTAAATTGCAAACCATCGCAGAGAGAAGAAAGAAAATTTACAGACAAGTTAGATATGTCTTACTTCTCGTATGCCCTCATAGTTGGAAGAGAAAATTAAAATTTTTACACTTTTATTTCTGTTTTGTTTCAATGCAAGATGTAAGAATATCTCACATTATCTAACAAACACCATTTAATCTAATACAATAGGAAATAAACAACACTGTGTGCGCTGAAGAAATAATGAATAAACATTTTGATTTTTCGCAAGAATTTTCTTTGCAAAATTTCTTAAATTCTAAGTTTGTGAACAAATTCTCAGAATTTGAATACATGAACTTGTATATACATATCAATATTAAATACACGTGCAATGTAAATTTATTTGATATCGTAAAGAGGAAATCTATTAAATGTAGTCAAATGCTTCAGTCAGTTCTTTGCATACTATATATTTTTTTTTCAGTAGCTGATTTTTACAAACGCTTTGGCAAAAGAGAGTAATTACATAAAGAAGTATCATATTTATTAATTTTGGTTTAAGAAGCGTAAGAACACGCAATGTTTTGTAAAATTAAAATAAAATTAAGTGATATTGCTTGTATTTGAATCAATATGAATACATAATTCCATTCAATAGCAAATAAATTCAAATTATTAGTGCAAATATTTGTTCTAAATAAGAAAAATCAATAAACAGATTCCAATATACCAATATATTAAGAAACACTCAATAAGTTTACGCCAACCACGAATAACACGTACACAATGAACAACAAGTTTTATACTCAATGTCAAGACGGATTCGATGTCATAATTGCATCTTCGTGCAAATAGTAAGTCATTGAAAGGATGGAACGTTAATAAGATTTTTCCCTAAGGCAGCACGACCTGGAAAGGAGACCTCTATTTTTGAGGTTCTTTCGTCTAACTATTATCTAGTACGTAATGACGTTGGATTCCCTCATCCCTTTCTTCATGTGAAAAGACATAACCCTAAATAACTGAAGCCAGGCCTCTTCTAATTCTTTGCTCCAACAATCTTCTAAATGAGGTTTTATGGCGTACACAAATTGGGAACCCACCAGCTGAAAGAAATTGAAACTCAGTAATGATTTCGATAATGCTATACATTACGATTTATGAAAATGATTTAGTAAAGGAACTTTGATTACACTGCACGACAACAGCACTGCCGATAAAATATTGACAAAATGTGAGAAAGAAAATACTTGGTATCATGTATCAACGACATTATTTAATATACATTTTGTAATTAAATCCGTTCAAACATTAAAAAAGAACCAAAACTAAAGTATCAATATTTTATGGATGCAAATAGGCTCTTTAGGACTCTAACAGTGAGGGAACTCAGAAATCCAGTAAAGAAAACGAAAACAAGACAAAAAACACGAAACCCTGGAAACTCAAGAGGTGGGATCAGTAGTTTATAGATAAAGTAAAGTAAAATTTTGATAAGATGGTACATTTGTACAATAAATTGTTCACGTGATTAAATAAACTTTTCACTATAGTAAATAAGAATATTGTTACAATGAAATTCATGGGTATACCTCTTGGATAATGGTAGGATTTTTTTTTTTTTTGGATTACTCTAAGGATTCTTAATCTACGAGTATGTAAATGTATAATTTTATCATATTTATTATGTAATGCAAACTTTTTTGTTGAACACCAAATGAATAAGAAAAAACGAAAATAAATTCACAATTTCCCTTTTTACAATTTTATCTTCTCCACAGCATGCTTAATTTAAAGTCCGTGGACGTAAGAACAATTCTAATAGAACTATTGTGAAAGATACATGTAGAATGAAAAGACTTTGAAAATTATACGAAGAAGAATGTTTTTTCAGGTTCTCTATTTATAAATGATATTCAGGTATTAACCCAACAGGTTTTGAAAGTAGTTCTAAGATATTTCAAAATAGTTTTTATCACGGATTTACATTACTTCGTACGATTTACAAAAGACGTGTAGTCGCCCGCGTGGCGCTGTGGTAGAGCATTTGCTCTAGAGTCGCAGAGTAAGGAGTTGCTCCTTACGTCGCAGATTCGAATCCCACTGGGACGTTGAGACCGGTCCTTCGGATGAGACCGTATAAACCGAGGTCCCGTGTCGCAGTAGGTGCTGGCACAAAAAAGATCCCTCACTGCTCAATGGCTCGCAGTGCCGAGTATAGGTCAAAATTTGCAGCTCTCCACCGGCAAGTGTTGGCGTCTCCATATGAGTGAAAAATTCTCGAGAGGGACGTTAAACAACAAACAAACAAAAGACGTGTAATATTTTACGCCTCCTAGCAGTGTAACATTTATTAAAACATTTCTCTGGTAAGTTGTAAATTACAATTACAATTTCTCCCTCATTAATAGAATGTATATCATAGCGATAAAAAAGAATATAAGTCATTAATATTTTCGGGAAAGTCCTGCGAGATATGGCCATAATTCTAAATAATTCTTTTTTGCGTGTAATTTTCTTTTTTGTTGACTTAATATAACCCAATTTTTCTAATTATTTACAAGACTGTGTTTGCTTTGTACATTTTATGACTCTAAATGAACATTTGGCAATTCCGATTTTTTGTTTTTGATGTAGATGATTAGATCAAACCATACGGGATAGATAAAAAATTATTTGATCTGTGGTTTACATCACATCGGAGAATAATGTCGCTCTGTGATATACTCTGACAAGAAGTACATCTGCTAATATAAGGAAGTTAATTGTTATATTGCTGCCAAAATGAAATGTATGAAAGAACGAATACTGGAAATTCCTGATACATAAACTGTACAAATTATAGATTATCTACTGGGGTTATTGTGGAGGAAATCATCGGGAGTGGTCGCCAACGACCAAAATTACCGACTACTATTGGGACATTAGGAATATGAATGGCACGTATAGTGAACAATATGTCATTCATTCTTATAGATAAAAGTTATTCGTGAAATATCATGAAATCTTACATCTATGAATTCCTGTCTAGCGCTATAATTAGCATGTCTTTCTCCCAGTTCATGCATGAGATTCTGGAGTTTTTCTGGCGTCCGTATCCGGGCCAGACATTTATCGACTGTACCCATCACACGGAGGGCGTGTGATCGCAAGATAGCACTATGTTCCATGTCTTCCTTTGCCAGTTGTTGGAATGGCAGAAATGCATCCTGGACTTCTGGGTGGGTTTGAAATAAACTGTAAAGGATGTGGAAATACTGATGTAAACATTTGAAAATGCAGTTTTTTTGATAATTGGGAACAAATCTTTAACTAATTATAATTATAAGGCATCCAGTGTACGATGAAGATTTCCATTGTGCTTTTCTTATGTTGTGTCATTTGCTGAATATACATAGACTTACAACTATACAGATAACGTAATTAACAAGTTTTAACATGTTGGTTCTGAATTATATTTATGGATTAGGGATTAAACGCCCTCATATTAATACCATTGTAATTTGGTATCCATAATGAGATGCTGAAATGACGCCATGCCTTGATTTAAAAGCTGAATACATTGCACAGAATATAAGGTCAACAGGTTTATTTCACTACTTCAGAGATATTACAAAGACTCAATCCGTCAGCAAGTGACAGAGAAGTTAATAAACTGACAATTATCTGAAACCTCGTCAAGAAAAATGAGCGTTGTGAAAGCAATGTCAAGTATATAAAGAGCTTAGGTTAAGTGATTAGGTGACAAATATCTGAAACAAAGTAACTATATGAAGAGTATTAGGAGCTTAAGTTGATAGATATTAAATTGTTTTCATGCGCTTTCGTTTGACAGTTAGCTAGTGTCTATGTCTTGTAATAAAAGGGTCTCCGTCTTATTATTGGGATGTTGTTGCTGCGAAATAGTCTGAATCCTCTTCATTTCTATCAGAGATTGATAAGACCATGAGACATTATTGTCCCTCGATATTCAGTTCATTGCAAGAAATGATCATATGGAGGGCTTTTGTCTTGGTTGTATGTTAATGAGATGAGAGAATATGTAAACAAAGCAGAGCTGTAGAGGAGCTTCCCGCTGTTGTCAATTTCCTTGACAATAACATGCACAATATCTTGATTTCATGATTTATCGAAATTATGAACTCGATTGTTTGTCCTTCTCAGACAAAATGTTATTAAAAATTGAATGACCTTGTTATTCAAAATGTAACAGAATCCAGTGTGACTATTAAGCATGTATTGTCACATTGATCTGTATACCATTGTCATTAGTAGATGCATAGATATTGCTCGTAGGTAAAATTTGTTGATTGCAACAATACCTTCATCCAAAACAATCTCTGTCTCTCTCCAACATGAAAACAAATAAAAAGGAAAGATCAGAACAACAGCGAAATCAAGGAAATACATTTGAAATTTTACATAAAAAATGAGATATTCATGTCTTTTGTGTTATTTGAATTTGATAGTGTCATAAGAAATTGTTTTAATATTTTACTTGCTTTGATGAACATTTTTTACTAAGTAAGACAAAGTTCACCTAAAATGAAAACTGAAAAAAAATTCCTCCAGATTTAAAATATTGTTCAGTATGGATGGTTCTTGGTGAATGTTTCTCCACAAGACATTGGCAAACTTGATGCGGGGCGATCATCTTTATTTACTTAATTATACAGCTTTAGAAAGGATATGTTTGTAATTGTTTCATCGAAAATGTTTAAGTCAATATAAAGATGAATTTTACTTTCTTTTAAAAAAAAATTAAATTGATTTTTCTTGGTCGATGGCAGGGAACCTGATTAATCAGAATTGATACAAAAAGTATTTATTTACATTATTTTAAATGCAATGCATCTGTCAAATTCAAATTCTCTCTAAAGTGATGAGATCCTCTTTAAGTGAAATGCTTCAGACGCTTCTTACGTAACACAGGACAGATTCTTTTGGAAAAGAAAAGGACTCGCACTTTATTCAATCGATCGTCCTGGAAAGTATAACTTCGCCTGCTAGAGAATTTCTTTATTGTATAGGGATTTCAATTTTCATTTTAAAAACACGCATATATATATATATATATATATATATATATATATATATATATATATATATATATATATATATATATATATATATATATATATATATATATATATATATATATATATATATATATATAACCTATAACTGATATTTGAATAGTAAACTTACTTCATGAACATAACCACACCAACTTTACTTATGTCCTGTCTAAGCAGTTTCCACGATTCCTCAATATTCTTTATGTCAGTTTCACTAAGGGTCGGCTCAGATAGAATCGGTAAATTTTTCTTGTCATGTTTCTCCTTGTGAGAAACAAACACTTTACATTCCAAGCCTCCCATCATTAAATTGAAATTCCTGGAAATTTCGACTTTAGATGAAAATCATTAATCAGGTCATATCACGACATTGATTATGATTTACGGTAAGGTAACCAACACTTTACCAACAATTCACGTCAAATATGACTTGCCGTCTGAATGAACACTTTTTGATATACTATTGATCCTCACTAGCTCTGCATCGGACACTTTACATATAGAGGCAATAATGACTTCACAGAAGATCGACTTCTTGTAAAATTGTGAGTTGTCAATCTCGCCTTATATTGATAAAACTAAGCAGAATTTGAAAGGCTTCTGTACTACATTATGAATTCAAAAAAGTCTCCAATAACAGCCTGTTAGAATGGAAGAGTATAATGAAATTGCTTGAGGATTCAATAATATAGCATGCATAATCTCTACAAGTTAGACAGTTTACAAAAAAACTTGATAAACTCATATAAAAAGAATTTTATTGCATGTGACAAAGTGTAAATTATAGAATATACCGGGGGCATCATTCAAAAAATATATCGGTCTTTGAATACACATCTATTTAAATTATTAAAAATTTTAATATAATTTTTAAGGATGACATGAAAAAATGGATATAAATCAGGTATCATTTTTTTTAAACAAAAGTATTTATCATAACATTTACTATAAACATGTGACCAAGGTGTATAATTTAGTATTGTTCATCAGGTGAATTATAAATGTAAAGGTGTTCAGTAGAATGTTCATTATCAGATGCAACATGTTTGTGTTTAGCTTCTTGTAGCAGAGGAAAATTATTTTCAATATCTTCAGTCATACACAGCCCAGCAAAACAAATGAAAGAAAGAAAGAAAAAAAACCCTCCTCAATCAATTTTATTTCGGCTTTTGATGATTTGTTGGAGCAAAGATAATAAGTACCAGTGCACTCTGATTCATTGAATATTAATCCTCTTGATTTACCGGCATAGATGATCTTGTCTGGAAATAAACACTGGGCATAAAGAGAGAAGGAGGTGTATTTGTGTGTACTTTACATCTTAATACTGATTGGAGTCACGACATTGGATGCTTAGCTACCCACGCTGAAGCGCTTCTCCTCTGCTCTGATTGCTCGGTCATCGAAAAAGATGTTAACAGATGTAGCATCTGTAGGAAGTTGGAGACCTTAATATTGCTATCGTGATGATCAAACGTGCCTTAATTCCATTTCCCAGTTTAAGCTACACTTTGTATCTTCATGCATCAAATTTCCGCTTTTTGAATACAAAGAATGAAGAAACGAACCAACTACAAAGGTTATAAAATTTTTGCATTTTCCAAATTTCGTTTCACACATATTTATACTGTTAATGTACTTTATCCGCTTGGGATTATTTTTTGCTATGTAAACAGAAATCGCAGTGAATTTAAGAAATACAAGGCAGTCCAAGAAGTCCGCAAAATTTTTACCCACAGATTGAACAGAATTCGTGATTCCGCGAAATTATGACCCCGTGGAAAAAAGTATGTTTACAGTGTTCAGAATACATGTACACATGGTACAATTGTTATTATTGATGGCGTGTAAAATGTTGCATTATTACAATTCCTGTGTGTTATACTTACTGAATCATTTACATTCGAAAACTCGTTATAAAATAGTAAAAACCTTGTAAATATTCATATTCGTAAACTTGGAATTAATATGCTAAAATTTGTGATTTACATTCGAGAAAAAATGTTTTTCATATTCAGACTTGCTATTTATATTTTAATTTAATTTGCCTTCTCGGTAATATGACACAGCATTTTCGGACATAAATACGATGGCCGATATGAGCCGTCAAATTACAAGTAAGAGTAACTCTATTATGTACGCAGAATTAATTGACTTTAACAGTAATACCTGTATCATTTTGTACATGTACATCTTTGTCAATGACAAAACGCTTGTACTTTTAATATAAATGTGTACATGTACAAATCTTGTAATCTCCCCAATAAATCTAAGGAATGTTAAGTAGTTTCAAATGTATTTTGTCTCAAGATTTGTACATGTACAAATTTATATTACAAGTACAAGCGTTTTGTCATTGACAAAGATGTACATGTACAAAATGATACAGGTATTACTGTTAAAGTCAATTAATTCTGCGTACATAATAGAGTTACTCTTACTTGTAATTTGACGGCTCATATCGGCCATCGTACATAAATCACATGATTTGGCATATTAGTCACAAGGTTATCAAAAATGAATTACAAGTGTTTGAGTACGAGTAACAAGTTTTAGAATATGAATAACAACTTTTGAAATATAAATCGCAAGATTTCGAATATGAATCACAAGTTTACGAATAAAATTTAGAATTATTGAACAGCATGAAAAAGATGAATATACGAGCATTGATCGATCTCCTAAATCCTGTAAATAATAAGAATCAAATCAGAGCAAAAACACAGACCCCCTGGAAACACCAGAGGAGGGATCAGGTGCCCTGTGGACCGGTCACACCCAATCGTGTGTCCTCTTTATGTTCAGGTAAACGGAGTAATCTTAGTCAAAATTAGTAAAAACAATGGCCTTACGATCGGTATGAAAAGTGTCAGTAGAAAAAACGACCCAGTGATAGGTTGTATTTGCAAACAAGGTAACAGTCATCGACCATAGAATTTGCAGTAGCCTGTCTCGGTTTAAAATTTATCGTACCTAGAACATGCTCTTGCATACCGAATAAAAACCATATGCAAGTGATGCTGGAATATTACTGTATAAATAGGGGAAATCGATGATGGATAAGTTGAAGTTTTCATGTTTGTTATGTAGATCATGAGATTATCGCATATAAATAAAAAAATATCGTATTGGAATCAAAAGTTTTTGCACATGAATATTTTTTTTTCGAATATGAATATCAACTTTTGATTATAAATTGAATTTTGCATATAAATATACAAGTCTATGAATACAGATCACAAGATTTGGAATTGATTCATTATTCACGAATATGAAAATTAACTTTTGAATATGGAGTTTTTGAATATCAAATCTCAAGATTCTGCATATAAATCAAAAGTTCGGTAAAATATAGCAAAAAATTTGTACATATGTATAATATTGCAATGCTTGACACCTCATAAATATCTCGAAGTTTTAATAGAGTGTGATTTCATTGTTTTTGGAGAAGATTAAAATATGAGTGCCTAATTTATCAGTAAACACATTCAATTTGTTTTAATGTATTCTTGACATGATGATTTCTATCATCTTTTAACTTGTTTTATAGCAATTCAGAATAGATATTTGAGAGTGGAACATGTGTTTTACCGAGGCATTATAAGTACTATCAGATAAAACAATGATCTATACGGCTTGTATGTGGGAGTGAAATATGTGTATGAAATTCGGTAGTTGTTAAATATAAAACTGATTAGTGCCTTCGGTGACTTGTAAAATGTCAGCTTGAAAAATGTATGTTTTATCATTATCGCATTCAGAAAACTTAAGGTCATAGGAAGCAAAATTCCGTTTATTCGAGTAAAATATTGGTAACAAAGAACGCATTACAAATTACATGTTATCCAAGCACGTTATTCCGTAAAAAGAAGTTTGCATTAGTTTCATTTTGTTGTTTCTATTGATTTTGGTTTCCGGAAAAATCACGTCGATTGAATTCATGCAAAGTATGCAACTTATTGCGTAGAAATCAGGCGGATTCATCATTGGTCATGACGGACTAGTTAACATAACCCTGGACAAACTGTTTTACAAATTTTTATTACTTTTTAAAAAGTATAAATACGTATTATAAGTTTGATAGATTCTGACATTGGAATGGATGGATATCACCCGAGTGAAAGATCGTATGACATCACCTGATTACAAGGTCACATTTCATAATAGCTCTGTTCCTACAAAACCAGAAAATCTTGAGAAGGAAAAAAAATCTTTCGTACAAACATCTCTTAGTATTGAGATATAAATCAAATTAATGAAAGTAGAATTATGAGCCTTTATAAGGGATTTTAAAGGCTTAAAAAAGCTATCAGTCAATGTGAAATTTTGCTTTGCATTATTAGATCCACGACTCTAATTAAATGAATAACCTTCGTAAAAAAGGGGAAATAACCAGTTTTGACCCGTTTTCCTGATATCTCAGATGGTATCACAGGGGTGAAAAAGAAGTCAATGACAAAACAAAATGACATTTTTCCTCTGCTTCTGAGTGCTCCTAGGAATAAGATTATTTAACCTTACACCGGAAGTCCATTCCTAGAACGAGGATAGGCAATGAGATTAAAATGTGCTAAATTCTCGATCGTAAATAGCCTGTTGATTGACGATTTATAAACTTCATTGCTATTTGATGTATAAGAAATCGCGTGGACTTAATCGTCGCCATATTTAGAATTGTTTAGTATGCTACTGACGGACATATTATGTCATGAAATCTGATTTTTAAGCCCGCATTTAAAACAGGTTATAAGGGGAATTTATACTCGCAAACAACTTACATATTTTTCTGCAGGGTTCTGGAGTTTTTATGTCATGATATGACCTAAAGTTCGATAATATTGGATCGATAAAAATTTCTGTCTTCGTCCATCATTTTTCTATCTGTTCTATAATCTTTAGCTAGAAAAAGCTTTCCAATTTTGGCTATTTTTATATCTTGTCCAACAAGCATTTTTTTGCAAAGATAATATGATATGTCATGAACTTTATCCTTTCTAGTATGCACGGTCATATCTTGGGTGAAAATTCCAAAACCTAATTGCACAACTACAAGACACCAACAATCAAATTCCAAAAGATGATTTGAACACTGTGTAAAATGTAACAAGAATTTCGGGAACCAGGTTTTATGTAGGAAAAAGTCGTTTTTTGACCCCCAATTTGCCCAAAGGTAAAAACAAAAATTCCAATACATTTCTGCACATCTACAGGACAACTTCAATCATATTCGAAAGGATAATTTGGTTACTCCTTAAAATTTAAGAGGAGATATGGGAACATGATTGTTGTAGAAAAAATTCCTTCTTCAACATCAAATTGGCCCCTAGGATGAAAAGATGAGAACTCTGAAACCTTATTAATTATATTTCAAAAGATGAATTGGCATTGGCTTCAGCTCAAAATGTAAGATGTTAAGGATGACGATTGTCTGACGGACGTACGGACGAGGATTACAACAATATACCAGAACTTTCTAAGAAAGGCGGGTATAATTATTATATTCGTTTTTTTAAAAAATATTTTACATTGGATCCATCATTAGGAGATTACAAAGTGTTTCAAAAAATTGTGCTAAGGTTTTCTATCTCCTTTCCATGTACAGGTAATTGAATATCTATTGGATATTTTCTTTCCCAGTCAGCAGACTGGCATATTCTTCATCATTCAATCTTCTTCTAACTTTCTAGATTGTCTAAATAGACTTGCTTATTTTCGATGAGAGGTAGAATTGATTGATAAAAACCTTTGTTTTTGCAAGGATAATGTATAGTTGATGGATTGAAAAAAGCAAAATAAATTATAATCAAGAGAAAAGAAACCTGTAAGATTCCCATGCAATAAAAACATTTGCAAACCAACATTCTTTCTCTATTCTTCGCTCGAAATCAATTACAACTTTTCTTTGTTTAATCAATGAAGTGTCGACCGGCTCAAGTAAATAAATCAGAACCATATCCTTAAGCTCAATACACAAATCGCTGCCATATCTGTCTGTTTTACGTATCTTCAGAGCTGAATTGTTATCATCCCAGATAAGTTGTATTTAGTGATAGAGCTTCAATAAGTACCTACACTTGTGTGATAAAACTAAGAGTTTTTGTTAATTGATGAAGCTGATGAAATCGATCAATTCAAGTCTTTGATTACATTGATATGTTGTTCACAATGATCAAAGTTCCTTCAATACAAAGGTATAGATCAAAGGAATTTTTCATATGCTTTTGTCTCCAATAGATAATTATTTTCATTCAGATATTTGCTTTGTTTATATTGTGAAAATTTAAAATCAATCAATCACTATGTTATAGCTGCCATGTCTAATAAAGATATCGCTTCTATACATATCCATCGCTCTGAAACAATTCATTTTTCGTGGTAAATGAGGGGGTATTTTGAGGGTTAAATGGACGAGAAACAAATATTTCCTAATTAGCATCTATTGTACTTTCAAATCATCGAACATTTACAACATGACATCAGCAGTATCAGAGACAGCAATTTGATTTCAACACAATTCATTTTGTTTAAAGGGCAAACAAATACTCAGTTAAAAAATCTTTTCTTAAAAAATGTTATGTACAGTGAAAAAAAAGTCTGTACCTTTTAAGTAAATAATCCACCGTATTTGATTGCAGGACAATAATAATTGTACCTAAAAGCGGTTTCAGATATCTAAATTATAGAACGTGTGTTTTTTTCAATTGCGTAGGCAGTTTGCTGTGAGCAATCAAAACGTCACATTTAACCTGAACCCAGAGGCAAAACTCATGGCAGACAAGAGCACTTATGGTATACAAAGTCAACGAAAAATACACAAGTATCGGGAGCATTATTTAATTTTTTGCAAGTAAGGTATCGAATTATCCACAATAAAGCATACTTCCCGTGTGATGAAAACTGACTGATGGCAAAGTTTAATAATATATGATTGTAAGTCACAAACAAAAGAGGCATACACGATATGAGGACGTTATTATTCACCATCGTGTTGAATTATATAAGAAAATGTAAGACAGACTCAAAGGATCTGGAAATGTAGATCACTGAGCTTATTGCTTAATAAAAAGGAGAAGGAGCTGACTGGTTATTTTCATATTTGTGGTAAAGATTATCAATATTCTTTCAAAACTTAAATGCATTTATCATCAATTCTTATTTTAAAAACATTCCAAATTATTGCTATTATATTATTAATAATAGCAATGCATTGAAAGAAACTAAAACACGAGGTAAACAACGGGATGTCGACAGAATATTGGTTAAACGAACATCATTACTTGTTTCTAGATATCTTTCAGGGATGTTTTTTTAACAATACCGCTAGGTTTCTATCTAGGTTTTGACTACTAAAATAAAAAAAAAATCCTTATTTTTCTCTGAAACTTTTTGCAGTGTTTCACAAGGATTACTGATATTTGATCGATTTTTACTTGCATGGCAGATAAAGAAAGCTTAAGCAATATTTATGTAAAGGTACGTGCATACTTAAATTTCCTTGTGCGGTCAAAGATGACCCTTACATGATGTACAGTTTTAGTATTATTTGCTAAATCTGACTTTTGAAACATGAGACATAAATTTCCTCTTGAAAGATAAGGACAAAATGTAGTTTTAAGCACATTACAAATTTCAGTCATTATCAGGAGAAACTTTTATCAGAGAAGACTGAAATATAAAAAATCAATATATATTTAAACAGGAGAAATCTTAGCATGCTTCTTTATTAGAACAATTAACAATTATAAAGTGCATTAACAACAGAATAGGTAAACTTTTCTTACTTCATGAACATGACCACGCCGACTCTGCTGATGTCATGTTTTAGTATTCCCCACGACTCTTGTAGAGCCTCAATCTGGTTATCCGTCAAAACGGGTTCCACAAGCTCAAGTTTCTTTTTGTTTTTCAGTATCTTATTCCCTTTAAAGTTCACAACCGCCTTTGAGTCAATATTTCCCATCCTAATTCAAAACAAATCTTTTGCCAATTTTAAAATTCCTTTTGCATGGTCACTTCTATGACTTTTTAATCATTCCACTTATATTTTGGGGTTCCATTTGCTAATGCCTGAAGCTAATGGTGTCGAATCGATTCAACCTTTAGTTAAATTCACCTAGCCCGCCTTCTCATAAGTGCAATTGTTTATTATTTTGGATCCTTACATGGCATCGATCAAATATATAGCCACTGAAAGCCGACTGAAAACAAATCCGATCAGCGATAAACCCAGTTTCCGGTTTTTATGGATACAAGCTATAGTTTGTAGAGCGGGCCTGTATGGAAGTGGGGATCATTTAAAATTATTTCCTATTAATCCAAATCGATGATTTCTTCTATTAAGAAGAAAAAAATTGTAAACACGTAGAAAATTTTTTTCAATTAAATATTAGACAGAAATATGGTGTTAATGTTGAGAAATAAAAACGTTGGTTTGATTAGTTGTTAAATATTATTGAAAATACACGTTGAGAAGATATTTTTAACTTACATGTATGTTCCATGAAAATTTATTGTTTAATGCTTCAATATTTTTTTCCTAACTCATTTTTATGTACAATAAAATATGATCTAAGAAAAAAGTGTGAATTTCTTGTTGTATCGGGACAACATATTTGTTGATTTCTTGACAGGTTATCTAGACTTTTGTTAATTATTTCATAAACTCTAAAAATGTTTTTCAACATTGTAAATATAATAAAAAAACAGTTTTCGATAAGTTAAAAGTGACTGCTTCACCGTTATCGATGTTCGCAGATATGGTTAACATTAAACTAAGCAAAATTCATTTAAAAATCAATGCATTTGTTTCGAAGATGCAATCCTTAAATTTCCATTGATTTAAAGTTTTTAGAGAAAGTCTTTAAATACACCTTAAAAATTAAATATATGCAAATATGGTGAGGGGTTTTTGCCCAAAGATCGAATTCTTCATTATGTTTTTGTGTGTGTGAAATTAAAGGTACATATGGCGAAGCTGTCTTACAATATCATCATAATGAGGGATTTTAAGTCTCTAGGCCTGTACAATCGACTTTTATGAGTATTATTCAAAATCACAAATAATTCTTTGGTGAGGGGGGCTGGATGGCCAATTTTATTGTAATGCATGAGTAGCAATGAAACTGCCAAAGGAGAATATGTTGATAAAAACCGGACTTAGTATGATATCGTTTACAGTTATGAAACAATGTAACAGATGCTGGATCTGGTTTTTGAACCATGTGTTACAGTCATGAAAAATAAATTGGTCTCTGATTATCACACTTTTGTAGCACTCTTACCGAATGTAACTGTGGCCAAAAAAGTTCAACGACTGCATATGGCCATCAAATATTAATATTATTAACAGGTTTATTATACTGTTTTATTGGATTTCTCTCACAATAATGCCTAAATGCATATTTGAAAAATCGATTACGAGCCGATTTTTTTTTCTCTTCAAATTAATATGGCCAAGTTTTTCACAAAAAACATCAAACAACTTTCAGATTGAAATGCTGATGTTCAAATGTATTGTCTTATGATTGTAATTTCACCCCTCTTTTAAAAACATTGACTCTGTTTTTAAGGACAAAAATGGGTATATGACCAGGAATGTCTCTTATAGGTGTTTTTCCTACATGATAAAAAAGTACATCTTGTATATAAATGTGGAAAAATTTAATATTTGTGTAACACAAATAATTTCTTTGACAATCTATTTGTTGACTGGCGTCTTTCATACAAATTATTAGGCCATTGTTTTCTCACTGAATTGTTAACGGATTTTTTCTGTTCGCCCGATCATGACAAGAAGCACACGGCGGGTGTGACCGGTCGACAGGGGTTGCTTAATCCTCCATTGCACCTAATCCATCTTCTATTTCCAGAGGTCTGTTTTGGCTCTGCTCATCAATTTTTTTTTAAATGGACTTTTGCGACTGTTCGTTTATCTTCATATTGCATATTGCTCTGTAATACTTGTAGAAGGGTTTCTCATGTTTTGTAGATGAATGTCTTAGTTTATTCAATACGTAATACAGTTACATATACTCTTTAACAATTCATTAAAGAATTGAAACACAGGTCTTGTCAGTAAGATCCATATCACAAGAAATTTGAAAGTTTCTTTTAATTTTTTTAAGTTAAGTTTTTAAAGTTTTTGCTGATTATTTTAATCTTTTATGATTAATCAGTGAATAAAATTAACTTCATAACTCTGAAAAAATAATTTTTTACCATCCAAAATATAGGATGTATTTCAGCACAGGGAAATAGCATAACCAATTAGCAAATTTTGAAACACAGAACTACACAGTTAAGTCCTGGTTTTACAATATGTATGGCTAAAGGGAAAAAAGTATTTTACGAAGCTTAAAAATGTTTCAATTACTACTATTGATCACAAGGTTATATTTATAATTGCTATAATTCTATACAACCAGAATGAATAGACTTCATCCACAGTAATGAAGCAAGCACTGCTTGTAGACATTCCTGGTCTCTTTACCAAGAAATCTGGATGTCTTATTAACGCAAGGCTGAATGTTGAAAATAACGAGGCAATTTAAAAGCTGATCGAAATGTCAGTCTTAGATAATATCGTTGGAAACTTGAAGTGAAAACGAGGTAGTTGTTTGCATGTTTCTATGACACCATGACCTGATTCTGACAAAAGAATTTGAACACAACACTCAGACGTTCTTGGAAAAGGTAAACAAATAAGAAGACAGAAAAACAGTGGCTTAAAAAACTCTAGATCCATAGCTGAAAAAAATATCATAAACGCAAATTTTAAGATACTGTAGCAAAAGATAACATGGAGTACATTGTAGCTCAGAGCTAATATTGAAAGGTTTAATATACATGTACATGTATAGGTAACAATCCACTTAGTTTTGCAGAAACCATTTGCATAAACACAGCATTTGCATATATCAAACAGAATTCTTTAATAAACTTAAAAACATTATAAACATAATGTCAGTTATCACATTGATAATATAAATATACTAGAAAGAACAAAATATGATACAAATGTATATGCGATTTAGTTTAGATTACAACTACGTTTAAATACACTTAACATTTAGCTAGATTTACAACTATAAAGCAAATTTTCAATAAATTGAAAAATGCTGATCTCGATTTTTCGTGAAACAGAAAGATATTGCAATGACAAATATTTTCATAACTGTAATCATGTTCACCATTAGTATACGTGCTGGCAAACACCAAGCGAATAAACTCACAGATGTAGGTTATCTAACAAAATCTAAACTAAATAAACTCTATATTTCTTTATTCTATCCTATCATTTGTACGTTACTTTGTAAGACGTGTACAGGGTTCATAGCTATTTGCTCTTTAAAAATTGAGGGTACATATGTATTATTTAGGCTTAACAGATTCAGGATAATTTACAAAGAATAACGAGAAAATATCAGGGAAAACGTTAACAAGTACGCTGCTGTTTTTTTTTTCCAAATAGGACTAAGGTTCTTTTTAGGTACTCAATTTCTTCAATAATTTCTTTGTTTTAACAAATCAAGTCTATCATAAATTGTGTTTTAAAAATTTTCCCCCTTTTTTCCTTAAATTTAATGATTTATGTGTGTTTCGTATTTGGATATTTTACTAGAGGACATAAATGGCAAAATATCAACTAAACATTATGATAATCGTCCTTCAACTCTTTCTATCTTCATAATCCCTGATTTAAGTTGCAATAAACCATTATCACCTGCATTTTGTGTCTCCTAATTGATTCGATACGAAAAAGCATGCTCTACGTAGGAACAATTTCTAAAACAAGGCAAGCGATTAACAAATAAGTTGCCGATACAAGGATATCAACAGTCTCGTTTTAAGTCAACATTTCCAAATTCTATGGTCGATACAATGATCTTGCAAGCTAGTACAATTTCTCGTTTAGTGGAATATTGACTGACTTTTTTTATACACATTCTTAGGTTATTTTCATGTCAAGGAGCACAAGGAGGGTGTATCTGGTTGACAGGGGCTGCTTACTCTTCCATGACACCCGATCCCCTGCTCTACTCCCAATTTGCATTATTTTAAGGAATTTTAAGCTTGATAACTGTTGTCATCCTTATATTTCAGGTTAAAATAATTTACTTGACATAAGCTATAAACTCTTGTGAACTAAATTTCAGGCTGTCTTGATTACAGTCTTGGTATATTTTTTGGAGACAGGGAGTACAAGTACATTTTACATCCTATCTCTTAAAATGTTGATAATATTTATGTTTTTGTGCCTTCTGAAAACTTAAGCGTTATTTTTGTCAGAAATTGTACGAGAAAACCGTAGAGACTTACCATGAACTAACAACGCTTTTTTGAGGTCTTTTCCCCTATATCATTTAATGATTAGAAATGCGTGAAGTCTTTCAGAGAAACAGCAAATTATGTAAGGGGAAGCCAAAAATCTGATTCCGATGGTGCAGTTAACAATAATAGTACACAAGAATGTTCAACAATTGTTTCTGCTAGAGTGCAGATCAAAATGATTTAATTGTTTGTTCAATATTATTACAAGGCCTTGTTTATACGGAATAAAGTATCTCAATAATTATTGAGGAAACAGTTGGTAAAGAGTGTGAACTTTATATTGTATTTACAATTTGTCTATTGTCATAGTTCTTACCTGAACCCAAAATGTTATTTCAAATTATACAAGCAGGTAACAGCATTGTCCTTGTTTGTAAGGCTCATTATTTTAATTGTATTTTAGAAGTACTGGGATTTCATTCTACAAGTTGCAATCCAACTTATACGCATTGCTCCCTTTCTAAGGAGGAAATTCTTCAAAATCATATGTCAGTTTTGAATATTTTTAATATTCCCAACAACCAAAATGAATTTGAATTACCATATTTATATTGGATTCCGAAACGTCATAAAAATCCTTACAAAGAAAGATACATAGCGGGTTCCAGTAAATGTTCTACCAAGCCTCTTTCTTTACTCCTCACTAAAATATTAACAGCAGTGAAGGGGAAACTTTTCATATTTGGATGTTATACTAGAAAAAGGCGTTAATGGTAATCTAACGACAAAGCTTTATGATAATTTTTTTCAATCGTCAACTTCCCTTGCTTACGCAG